AATTTGTAGAGTGCAAAAAGAAATTTCATGTTGACACTTTATAGAGACAGAGTTTTGTTGAATTAACTACTAATTTGATATCACAAAGAATTACTATTTTTACGCATTGATAATAATGTTCTACTTTAGTAGGAGTGATGTTTTGCCTATGAATAATTATAATAATTGCTTAAGATGATTATTGATAAAACTAATTTCAATAAAACAAGATCAAAATGAACAAATCCACTTTTCTCGAGAAAATACCCTATTATTAATAAGTACGTGTCTGAGAATGTCTAGGTTATAAAATAATAGATGAATGGCATCTGTCCACCACTGGTATTATCTGTACATCCAGATGCTACACATGTGTGGAATGAACACAACTTCTCTCGACGTTTTAACAAACGTTAAACTTTACAACATTAAAACATTCTAATCTACAAACTTGCTATGCTGGAAATATACAACTTAACTAAAACTACTATACATGTACATCTAGCTCTCTATCTAAGGCTGAACACAGATCAGGGCTGNGAAAATAACCCGTGATAGGCAAAATCTGTTAAGTAGTTACCTTTATTTTTTACAGTTATTACAGAGCATAAATAAATACTCTATATTGAAACAAATAACAAAACCTGTTTTCAAATCAGCGGATGTGCGTGTACATCAATCGGGCCTTAATGTGATCTGGAGTCATGTCATTAAAGCGTCCCCTCCAAGCTGCTTTGCGAGATTCACAGCTGTATCTACGGCAGAGCGATGGATCGTCAAGCGAACCTCCAGTCCGGTTTTGCGCTGATTCTGGCTGCGGTTTTTTTCCCAGCTGGCATTCAAAGTTTCAGTTCCATCTCCTGAATGACCAATCTGTATTAAATACAGTAACTTTATTGGCACTCAGGTGGAGAAGAAGCACGGAGACTGTTTTTACCAATCATACGGTCAATCAGGACGCAGAACACTGTGAAAAAAATCTGCGAAGCAGCGATACCGTGAAAGGTTATAGCGAGGGATCACTGTATATGAAATAATTTATAAAAAGCAACTGAGTAATTTGTAGAATGGCTGTATATCTGATTCTATCTGGGTGTATTTGGGACTTCATTCTCATGCCTGGCTTCATAATGCCTCA